AGAGAATAAGACTAAGAATGATGCGTTACTCATACAATCTTGTGTATACTCCTGGAAAACACCTAATAACAGCTGACTGTCTTTCACGTAACCCTCTAAAGGACACTGAAAACTATGACTTAGAGGAGGAACTCACTTACTACGTGAGACAAGTCATTTCCAATGTTCCAACTACTGATGAAAACATACAGAAAATCCTACATTGTCAAAGACAAGATCCAATTTGTATGAAATTACGGAACTTAATCATTGATGGTTGGCCAGAAAAATCTGAAATTCCAGATCAATTAAAGACATTTTTCAACGTAAAGGAAGAACTTTCTGTTGCTGATGATCTTGTATTACGAGGAACAAGAATATATGTTCCAGAAGCATTGAGAGAAGAAATGCTAAAACGAATCCATGTAGGACACTTGGGAATAACAAAATGTAGACTCCGAGCCAGCAACAGTCTTTGGTGGCCAGGAATATCTCGTGAGATTGCAAAGATGGTTGAAAGTTGTCCACAATGTATTCAGCACAGGAAAAATAAAAACGAACCACTTATTCCAGCAGAGTTCCCTTCAAGACCTTGGCAGATTGCAGCAATGGATCTTTTCAAGTTAAGTGGTCAATGGTTCATCGTGTTAACAGATTGTTACTCACGATACTTTGAAATTGCAACCTTACGTTCTTTGACAAGTCATCAAGTCATTGAAAAATGTAAATCAGTATTTAGTCGTCATGGAATTCCAGAAGAAATCAGAACCGACAGCGGAACCCAATTCACCATGCGTCAAGGTTCGGAATTCCAGCAGTTTTCCAAAGACTACAATTTCAAGTTAAAGACAAGTAGCCCTCACTTCCATCAGAGTAATGGAGCTGCAGAGGCTGCAGTGAAGGTAGCAAAATGCATCCTAAAGAAAAATAAAGAAGACCCTTACCTGGCACTCTTATCATACCGTAACACTCCAATATCGAACGGGTTTAGCCCTGCACAACTACTAATGGGACGACGTTTACGAGACAACCTACCAGTTTTGCCAGGACTTTTAACAGAAAAGCCAGATTTGAGTGACTTGAAACAAAGGGAGAGGAATTACAGAGAAAAGTACAAGAGAAATTATGACTCCAGGCATGGTGCCAAATCTCTTGGAAGTTTGAAATCTGGAGACAGCGTTTGGATATCTGACGTGGGAAAACCTGGAACGGTTGTAAAAACAGCAACTGAGCCACGATCATATATTGTCAGGACTGATACAAGAGACCTAAGAAGAAACCGTTTCCATCTTCTACCATTTCCCGATGACTTGAAAAGTACACCATCACGAGACAATGTGACAGAACAAAATTCAACAAGTGTCTGTACCAGAAGTCCAAAACCACAAGAGGACAACTCAAGTTACAAGACTAGACACGGACGTCAAGTACATCCTCCAAGGAGACTCGACCTTTAAGGAGGGGGATGTTTCAAGACTGTAAATAAAACATATGTTTTATTTAGGATATTATATTATTATGATAAGATGAAAACAAATATTGTTATTAGTGTTAAAGACTTCTTACAAAAGACTTGTTCAAATAAAATGTTATCAATTTAGTTCATTCCAATTATTATTTCACGAAAACTATAGACAGTCGTGATACAGCTTCAGACATGGAAGCACATAATAAAAATATATTAAAGTAGTTATTACCTTGTTGGTTGTGTTCTTGATAGTCAAAGGTAGTAGTTATATTAGGTATGAAATGCATATTTTTCCAGCTTGGATGGCATTGCAAAAATAATACACGTCCCAAGTGTTGTGTGGCATTCCAACACCCCTAGTCCATGAAATGAAATTAATGGAACAAGAAAGACGTCCCGCTAACATGACTCCGCCGCAAGTCCATTGTCATATAACTTGTACAACCCTATTGCGATAAACGTGTGAGATGAGATGATGTATCTATATACTTGAGGGTTTTCTCTGTACTATCCCTTTTTCACCCATCTTACTTGACAATTTTTTATGATTGAGGTGTCATTTCAAAGTTTATGATTTAGCAGAGAGACGAATATGAGGAGGATGCAGTATGAATGCTTTACACGGCTTGGCTAGTAACTATTTTAAATGGTAATTGTAATTTAACAGCTGGTCCTTCAGTTGAATGTTTACACAATGTTTGCCACTATAAAATTTTAATCAATAGATGAAAGAGTTTGTAAAAATGGATTTTAAATTAACTACTTTTATTGGTAGTAGTAACAGGGGCGGCTCCAGAGGGTAGGCCATGTAGGCCCGGGCCTACCAAAAATTTTGGTAGGGTACGACAGGGATGCCTGGGACAAGGGTGAACCTGAATACATGAAAAGGGGGATCACTTGGTATACGGATGGCTCGAAAAAGCCAACGGGCACGGGGGCTGGAATATATGGAGTCAGACCCAAGGCGCAGTTCTGTGTAAGCCTGGGAAAAATGGCCACTGTATTCCAGGCAGAAGTTGTTGCCCTGTCCGAGTGTACAAGAGTGTGTTTGAAGCGTGGTCTTACAGGCCACACTGTATACATGAACTCGGACAGCAAAGCAGCACTAATGGCACTTGCAAGTTTTGACTATACCTCCAAGGCTGTATGGGACTGTCATCAGGCCATGAAAGCCCTGGGAAAGAACAACAGGATCACCCTTAGTTGGGTTCCAGGGCACAAAGGTATTGCTGGCAATGAGAGAGCTGACAAGTGGGCAAACAAAGGAGTTGAAAAGCCAGTTCAATGGGAGTTCATGGGTCCAGAGCCGACGTGTGGCATTGCTTACAGCACAGCACGGAGAGCTGTTCAGCAGTGGATTGTCATAGAACATCGAAGGAGCTGGGAAAGAACAGAAGGCAATGTACAGTCAAAGAGAATGCTGCAGACACCTACTGATGCGATAGCGGCAGATGCCCTTGGGCTGAGTAGGAAGACCCTGCGGAAGGTGGTTGGCTTTATTAGCGGCCATGTGGTATTCTGTGGACATCCATACAAGATGGGAATTCAAGTTGAAAGCCTCTTATTTAGGAAATGTGGAGAGGAGAAGGAGACAACATTCCACGTGATATTTATGTGCCCAGCCCTACAAGGTCTGCGCATGAGATCCCTTGGCCTATCGACTGGAGATCAAAGGGAAGAACGGGTCACCATAGTCAAAAGGATCTCATGGTTCACAAAGGACCTGGGATTTGAGGAAAATGAGGACCTGTGAATGAGGGTGCACAATAAACTGTTCCAGCTGCGCTAAAACCCATGGATACTTGTAAGCCTCTATAAAAAAAAAAATTACCAACATCTGAAATGAAAGCCTATGTTTTGAGGAGTAGGCCTATTTCAAGACCAAGACATGTTGAATAACTTAAATAAAAATGGAGTTATGTATCATTGATTGCAGATAAGTGTTAAAATAATAATAATTATTGTTTTTCCAGATGTAAGACATGTGAAATAATTATTGTTGATTTGTGATTCAGTAGCGTACACCCTTCACGTAGCGTACACCTTCACATACACCCGATCTTGATAATCAATAGCTCAAAATGAAAGCTGTTATTTCACTGAAGGTTCTTAGACCAAAACATATAGGATGATGTAATTAGAACTAGCGAAATACAGCTTTAATTGAAGTAAGAATTTGAAAAAAATCTGATTAATTTTTTTGGCCGAGTAGTACAGTAGATAAAAGAATGATGATGCTTGGTGGCAAATCTGTACGTGCATACCTTTAAATTAAGACCAAAATTATGAAAATCGGGCAGGTAAGAGCCAAACCAACTCGGAAAAGATAACCAATACCGGTATTTATTAATATACAGATAATATACCTAATAAAATTTTGAAACAAAAATCTGGACTGAGACGAGGGCAGAGAGTAGGGTCCACTGTGGCAGTGTGTAATAAACAGCAAATGATAACATGGCCCGCTGGTGCTGCGACAGTCGTGTGGGCTCGCGACTAGTAGCGATGGTGGGCGACTGGGGTTGCCGGTCCTTCCAGTTAAGAAACTCGTCGATGGTGTAAAATGGACGGATTTGAAGCCAGCGGGTGAGTTCTGTCTTCAGCTGCTCCCCTGATGCACCTTATTTCTTCCGGTAGATAGTTGTGTAGTTTGTTTAATACATAAGATGGGCTTTTCTCATATAGGCAGCTGTAATGGGGTAGGTTGAACCTGGAGGCCTTTCTCGTGTAATGGGTGTGGAAGTCTGCTCTTCTTGGTGGTGATTTCTTTTCAGCATACAAGATTACATTCCCTAATATATAGGGCAGTTGCTGTTAGAACTTTCAAGGCTGTAAATGCTTCCTTACAGCGATCCCTGTATTGTAGTCCAGATATGATCCTAAACACTGCTCTAGTTTTGCAAGATAAGTATGTGTTTGATGTTGCCAGCTGTATTACCCCCCAGACTATCAGACCGTATCTTAGGTGGGATTCGAACAGAACATTATTAGGCAGTCATTATTGTGCCCTCGTCACTCATGTGCTTAATTTTTTTTAAGACTTAGAGGCAGGAGCTAAGTTTTTGACGTTGATATGTAGGACGTTGATGTGTGGTTCCCAGGAGGTGTTCTCGTCAATTTTTATTCCTAGGAATTAAGCCTGGTCTTCCATTATTAGATTCGGCAGCCCAGGTAGTAGTTTTTTTTTCACCTAAATGTCTAAACAAACATAAACTTTGAAAGGTAAAAGGGCATTGCATTATTTGTTTTCCCTCAGAAACAAGTTTTGAACTCTAACAAAACGTGCAATAATTAGCGCACAGGTCCCCTCAATAGTATTAGTGTGTTAGCGTAAGAAGACCCCCTGAATAAGCCACACATAAAACATAATAACTAGTATTTTAATTTAATTACCGGTAAAGCTCTTGAACCTGGGATAGCTAGAAAAGGTTGTATTTTATTATTTTAACTATAAATAGGTAAGTAGGATTTGGTGTTACTATGTAATGTTGCTCACAATAGTTGACCTCTTTATTAACATTCCTGGTTGATAGAAAACATTTCCTTGTTCCAGGGGCCATGTTAATGGCCATGTACATCCGTGGCTTGACATACAAAGAAATTGTAGACCTCACCCGTGCCATGGTGTTTTCGGGTATGTAGCCTTAGTTCCAGTATGTAATAATTTTTTACATTCATTAATATTTTTAGTCTTAGTCTTAGCCATTAATAGTCAAGTAGCACTCTTATCTAGTAGTTAGTCAAATCTGAAGCCAGATTTTTTTGCAAAAATTTCCCTGTAGAGATATTTAAACTATTACTGTAAGTGGCATGGTGCACAATGGCTGTTCTAAGGGCCCTTTCACACGAGGCCACTGGTGGCGGCTGTTGAGATAAATAATTTTAACATTATTCATTTAAAATTATTATATATATACTAGCTGACCCGGCGAACTTCGTATCGCCTAAGTTATAGGTTTCCCCTAAGACAGACCGATGGAAAGAAAGTACCGTTACGTTTAATTTTCAAGATGATCTCGTTCGCATCGCTCAATCACGTCCTGGTAATTTTTTTTATTTTTAAAGGTTTTGGGTTGGAGCTCGTTCGCTAGGCTCACTCACCTTTAGGTTGGAGCTCGTTCGCTGCGCTCACTTGCCTTCAGGTTAGCTCGTTCGCCACGCTCACTCGCCTCCAGGTTGAAGTTCGTTCGCTACGCTCACTCACCTTTTGGTTGCAAATTAGCTGTTGTCATAAATGTAAAAGAAATAATAGTGCTGCACCCTGTTGGTAATCCTTGTAACTTTAATGCTATTGAACATCATAGAACAGAACCAACTTGTTTAATTGAAACAGCTGTTAAGATTCATTAATTCCATTTCTCATAAGGTTAACATGGGAAACTCCAGAGCCACTGGGGCGGAGCCCTTTTAAGAATTTTGAAACGGGAAATAGTTTACGTCCGATTCGCATACCTACAGAATTTACACACCAAATTTCATAACGATCGGTGAAGTCGTTCCGGAGGAGTTTGCAGACAAACACTGTGACACGAGAATTTTATATATTGGATATATATTTTGTTTGTATTATCAACTCTTTTGTTGCCTTTGAGTTTAGAAAAAAAGAAGTTTTTTTTATATCAAGAAGGTCTTTGAGTTGTATAGAAAAAGAGAAGTAAAAATGGCCGTGGTAATGAGAGGTTGAGTAGTTGTTTTGCTGTGGAAATTGTAACATTAAAAAAGTGTGTTTTCAATAAATAAGATATTTGGGAAATGTATTGTGTTATTAAAAAGCCCAGCACAGACTAAAAATTCACAGCGGCCACCGGTGTCCGCCACCAGTTACCGGCCGGGAAACTGCAGTGGATGATACAGGCAACTTACAAGCCACTTTACTACAGCCACTGTACAATGGTAGTTGTGAAAATGCTGTCGAACAATGAACATCTCCTTTTTCTCGCGTTGATAATAAAGAAAATAAGGCAAAGACACAGGCGTGCTATACCAAATTGCCGGTTACTTTTCAATTTCGCAAATTAGATCTTCAGTATTAACTTTGTTTTCTATTATTTTGTTTATTCTCTTATTCTGTTGCTTTCCTTTGTCTTTTTCTTTTTCAGAAACGTCCTCTTTATTTTTCTTCTGATCACTCATTTTCACAAACAAACAATTCAACACGAAAACACTCAACAACTACCATAGTGCGTTTGTCTTTGCAGTCTGCACGTGAACTGATTCAAAATAGTAGCTGCGCGCTCATCCACGGTGGCGGACACTGGTTGCTTCGTGTGAAAGCTCCCATTAAATTCAATGCCCCGCGACGAGTTGCCGCCACTGCAGTTGCCGGCGGTTGCCGACTAGCAGTTGCGCGAGGAGACACTGCTCGGCCACTGTGTAGTGGCGGGCAACTACAGTGGCTGCGTGTGAAAGGTCCCATTTAAAACAATGTTAAAGCTGTGGCGGGCAACCAGTGGCGGCCACCGGTGGCGGCCACCAGTGGCCTCGTGTGAAAGGGCCCTAAGACCTTGTCAAGGGGGGAGGGCTACCAGTGATCCATCCACACCCCCAAATAAAGGAGTGGGATCCGGAAAATGCTGTGTTTTAAAAAGCAGCTTGGTGACTTTCTTAAGCCATTTTTAACGCCTAAAACTGTGTCCAATTGTCTAAAAACTCCCATTTCACAATTTCTTTGAAGTTTGTCATGAGCAAGTAGACATTTAAAAATTTAAACTATGACAATTGCATTCATGCATTTTAAAACATACCGTAGTAGACTACGGCCTTATCTTCCTAAAAGCCGTTTGGTGCCTTTCTAAAGCCATTTTTAACACCTAGAACTGTACCAAAAAACCTCCTAATTCCCCTTTTATTATTTTTCATAAACAAGTAAACATTTAAAAAACTTAACAACGGTATGACGATTGCATTCGTGAATTTCAAAACATAATGTAGCCATATCCTTTTAAAAGCCGTTTGGTGACTTTATAAAACCATTTTTAATATCTAGAACTGTGTCCAATTGTCCAAAAACCTCCCATTTACCTATTATATGTCATGCAAGCAAGTAGACACATTTTTTATCCGTTTTTCTCCAATGCACAGATCTGTTGCAGTTTTCGGCACAACATAAAATATTTCAAGTACCGTAGCCAACAGCAGCAATAAAATGCTGTATACATAATTAACTAAAATCTCTTATTGTCATATTTTGGACAATTTTCATGGAATGAAGGCCTTTGTTATAATAATGGGATAATTAAATTTGTTCTAATAAATAATGCATACCTAAACAAATTCAACTCTGTACACAGATATTGAATTAGTCATGGGTTAATGGTTACAGAGACAATTCAAAGTTCTTGTGTTATTCTTATAGAGAACAAGTAAATTATTGTGGTTTGCTTGTTTATGGATATCATTTGATCAAGTTTAAGCAAGTAGCAAATCCCACGGCCAGTAAATCCCAGTTAACCGTGGGATTTATTGGATTATGTAGCAAATCCAACCTAAACCGTGGCTGGATTAGGCTGGGAAAGTAGGAGTCGTAAAAAGAAACAAATACAGTAGTAAACAAAACAAAACATAAAATGAGGCTACTAACCTGTCGTCAATCAGTCCTCTATTGTCTTGGATGACTATAGTTTTGGGGTTAAGACCCCATTTTCAAATCTTCTCTTCAGTCGTCAAATGTCAAACATATTCTCTTGCCAATGACAAGGCCACTAGTCTTGTCTAAGACTAGTCTGGTTTTGTCCTTGGCCGGCCTCACGCGCATGTACATGATTTGTAAATATAAATGTTTTTGTGTGTGTTTATGTGCATGTGTAAAGTAATTTTGACGACAGTTTATGCAAGAGAATATGTTTGACATTTGACGACTGAAGAGAAGATTTGAAAATGGGGTCTTAACCCTGAAACTATAGTCATCCAAGACAATAGAGGACTGATTGACGACAGGTTAGTAACCTCATTTTATGTCAATAGATCAATCCTGGAGGCAAATTATGTATAAAACAAAACACCCTCTAAACAAACTGGAGGAAACAAATGATTTAAAATAGTCTTCAGCTACCTTACTGTTTGAATGTTGAGCAGGGGAGCAGTTACAGTGGGATCTACAGTGGCAAGGTGTGCTGGCAGACAAACACAGCACTGGAGGCATTGGAGACAAAATATCAATAGTTCTGGCCCCAATACTAGCAGCATGTGGCCTAAAGGTAAGCATGATAAGCCAATAATATTCTTCTCTCCTCCTTCCCTTGAGACCAGCTTAGACTGGTGAAACCGAGTCACATTATTTAATGACATACATTTGATCTAACGACATAACTGTTCAAACATGGTAATTGTCTTTAAAAAACCTATTTAAAAACCTATATTACACTCATAGTCTCTATTTCTTAAAATAGTCTCTATAATCTTAAATAGTCTCTATTTCTGTCGCCAACTTGTGGCTTTCAATATGTTTGATTATGCCTGGAGGTTATTGTCGAATGTTGAGTTTTGGGGCCATAAGTGGAAAAGCGTCATTGTTCTTACCAAGCCTGCAGACTTTTAAAACTTCAACACAAACAGTTTCAAAATTACATTACATTAACTTCCTTTGCATCTATTGTTAGTCTACGAAACTGAAAGTAATTCTGGTTGCAATGTGATTTTTTGTAGGTGCCGATGATTTCAGGACGTAGTTTAGAACACACCGGTGGAACATTAGACAAATTGGAAAGCATCCCAGGTTTGTACTGCACTGCTGCACTTAGGATTATTTAAGGACTCCTAAGGAGTTATACTGTTGTTGCACTTTAATAAAACCAGTTAAATTTTTGGTACTGTAGTTATTGAGTTTACATGAGGAGCCACTTCAAACAGCAGTCAATTAAGACTATTTTGCCCCCATACTGCTTATGTGTGCGCTGTATTTATTCTCACCATTATGATATACTCAGTAAATCAGCTTCGAATGTAAAACCTCTTCCAACATCATTACTTGTCACTTCTTGATTCTAAATATCTGCCACTAAATTGGTTTATTTTGGATATCTGTTATGTTTTCATTCAACATAGATTCTCTAGACTGGCTTGATGTAGCATTACAAATGTTGGGTTACTTTTAGGGCCAGTATTTGCATTGAAGGCCTAATACATTGGCCATTGAGCAATTCTATGACTTTGCAAGCAGCAAACATCTCTAATTGTTTTCAAATTTTCCCAGTGGCGAGAAAAAGTGATGCTAAGATAGATAGTGTGATAGATGAAATCTATGTTATCAATTTTTATTTTTAGGGACACATTAGTTTTTTATTTGGGGAGTTTGGGGGTTAAGTACATTCTACAACTACCTTTTTTACTCAAATAAAGTATTCTCAGAGTTTATTGTTGTTGTTGTTCAGGGCTGATGGTAGACCTAGACGTTTGTCAGATGCAGAAGGCACTAGAGCACGCAGGTTGTTTCATCACCGCAGCCACACAGAGTCTGTGTCCAGCAGACAAGACCTTGTACAGAGTGAGAGACATCACTTGTACTGTGGACAACATTCACCTAATTGTCTGTAAGTCAATATGAGGAATCTCCAGTATTATTATTTCCAAAGGGATCAATTGTAACAGACTAGTAGTTTTTTAGCGAATTTACCATCAAGGGAATAAAGGGTTTTATGGGTTCAGATTTCATGTGTTAGTTTTCCCATTTTTACCCTAAAACATAAAAATGTTAGCAATTTATTTTTAAACAATTTGTTGATGTAAAAAATAATTTTGTATACTGAAGCAGTAATGTGCGCTTGATATTTACAACAAAAATTCCAAACAAAAAACTGTAAATAAAAAATTCTTTGTGGATGATAAGTTTTGGACTCAATCACACATTAAAATACAGGTGGGATTGGGCTGAAATATGACATGATGCTAGCTCATATTCCTATTGAAGAATGCGAGTTGATTGGATGCGACGATAGTAGTTGAAGTAGTTTTAGGTTGATGACACATTCATGTACACTTGTTGTATGTATTGAATAAAGATTTATTGATTGATTGATTGATTGATAGCTTTATACAGATTAAAATCAGCTGATTCTATAACCAGAGCTATTTATTAGGTCCAACTGCTAAGCGGTTAAGGCATTGATTTCTTGACCAGGAGACAACCCAGGGTTGAATGTTTAAATTGTGTCAGGACTAGTAAATTTTCCAGGTAGTCAAGAGGTTTTTGTCTTAAAATGTGAAGGTCGCTGGTTTGATTTCAAGCAAGATTGTTTCTGGACCCAGATGACATTTGTCATTGGGCTATCAAGAATTGGGCAGAAAGATCAGGACTTGAACTGTTTCCTTACAAAAAAAAAAAAAAAAAAAAAAATTAAAAAGTGTGAATACAAGTACAAACGTAAATAAATATTGACTTGGCAGATTGCTCAGTGCCACTGTTTATTAGATTATGTTGTGTGAGAGTGTAAGTAAACTCGGAGTAAGTTAAAAACAAATCAAAAAGATTCTTTTAGCTAAATAATACTTGATAACAAAACAATGTTTTTAATTGATCATAAATATATTTTTATATACCATGAGAAATAACCGGAAAATTTATCTTGCCTGCAATATATATATTTTTATCAATAGTTATTGAGTGGTACTTTTTTATTTCTTTCTTTGCAAAGAACCCAAATCAAAGCTGTCCTCTTGCACTAAGTTATAAGATGTTAAATCTTTCACACGAAGAAATTGCAAACAATTAAAAATATTTATAACATTTCTTCTTAGTGATGTCATATTACAAGATCTATTAAGAAAACATGATTGGTCTACAAAAATTACTGTCTAACTTATTTAATTCTCACACATATTTATTTTGAATTGAAACTGACATATTTAACGTAAATTGTGCATCTTAAAGCACGTAAAACATAAATATTGTTTTTAGCTTCAATTATATCGAAAAAGGTCGCTTCAGGAACTAAGTTTCTGGTGGTGGATGTGAAGGTGGGGAGAGCAGCTTTTTGCAAGACTGAGGAAATGGGAAGAGCTTTGGCAAGGGATCTTGTAAGTAATTAAATGAAAACACGTCCATTTCTACACTTTATAAGCATGCTATTATAACACTGTTGCAGATGTTCTAGTATAAACTCTAGATTTACTTAAAAACATCACCTGTATTTAGAGGAACTTGGTTGTACTGTATGTATTACGTTTTCACTGTCAACTTGTTTGTTTCTATTACAAAAATCCTTGCAGCATCAAAGCCTTTAACAGCTTTATCCATGGGTGTAGACTGGCTTTGGAAGTTTCAGCATTACCTTTGTAGCCTAAATGTTATTCCTTGCATGGTTTGATGATTAAAATTATAACCATCTTTTTCCTTCTTTTTTTCACAACTTATCTAATTGGTAGTGATCGGACAGGACTTGAATGCAATATTCGGCAACCAATTGCTGGGAAAGTACCTTTGAAAACTGAGGTTAAAATGTCAATAACAGTGCTTCAGTATCTACTCGCTGCTGAATTGTGCAAACATGTGGTAAAGTACTGATGTATTTCCTTTATTATGTTTTCAAATGTTCACTCTCAGAGTGATCACAGACGGTGAGGCTACGTAGGGTCTCGGGAGGCAGACTTTCTTGTTGCCGCAACACCACACCTCTGCTTTGCCTTTCAATGTAAATATATTGCATTGGTCACAAACATTATCTATGGATCCTATCTCAAATCAAATCGGTCTCGTCTGAATCATAGTGTTTACCAGAATTAGTGTTAAGCCAAAGTCAGTTTTTAATGTTCACATTTTTATCTTATTGTAATATCTTTTATATTTATCTATTAGCAGCATCTCGAAGCTGTATTTTTTTGGTTGGAGAATCAACCCTTTTGTTTAACAATTTTCCCCTTAGAATCACTTAGCAGGTTGAGATTTAGGAGCTTCAACATTGGTCATGGTTATTTTATAAATATCATATTTCGCACATGTTTTTTGTAGGTTTTTTATGTTCTAACCTCTCCTAAATATATGTCTATAGGTGCTATGTTAACTGAGGTTTTGTTGACTGGCTTGTATACGTCAAAGTGGCCACTGCCGAGATTACCACTGAACATTATTTAGGTGGTATACTGCTGTCTCGGGATCACCGTTTTCATTTACCACAATTATAGATTTCTTACTTGCTGACGGTGTATAAAAAGTCAAAAGAACTTTAATAATAAATTATTTTTTGGTCATTGACTATTATTGGCTCACATTTAAAATGCAATTTTCCAGTTGCATTCAATATTTGTGCACAATTCATGGGCTTTTGCCTGGTAATCAAAATTTACATACATTTATTTTGTTCCCAGTTACTCTATTGGCAGGAAGATTATCTAGTTTTAAATTAATAATACTTGATAACAACATAGTGTATTATTTATGTCACAAAGTTCTTTTGGTTTCGGACGTGCTTATCAAACAAAAATCTATAATTTGGGAACCAACCAAATTCCTAGGTAGTAAAATTACTCTACACAAAACAAATTTCCCACTGATATATCCTGCTCCCAATTCTTAAATTGCATACAGTATATTTATACACCCTTTAATCACAAAACAAGCTGCTATACCCGTGCTTTACAACGGGAAGAAAATGTGACCTAGAGAGCTATTCAAGTGGTGCTGATGTGTGTTTTAAAATACAGCAACTCTATGATTTAGTTTGAAAATATAATCTGATTTAAAAGTGTAATCCTACTTTCAAACCCCCTACTTTTGATGTTAATAGATCCAAAAGAATATACCTACCTCCATACGGACACATACCTTAGCATCAATTTCTTCATATTGCTGCTTCATGAATGACATGTTTTACCATAATTCTTCAATTTTAGTCAAGCCTCTTTCCATGTAGCTTACTATATAAATTACAAAATAAAAACTTTGAGCAATACTTAAACAAAACTTATACAACCTTTCTTTAAAACCAAACATAACCCTCCTCAATCTTCATTTTTCTAGTAAATAAACACCAATTCATTGCACTGACCAGCTGTTTCATGAACTAAATTGAATTATATCATTTGAACTTTGGAAATATGCCAGGGGTAGCCCTTTGGAAATTAGCCTGTGGGGCAGAGCCCTTAGGAAATTCGTCCATATCAATACTTTTCGGCAAATCTACACACTCTAAGCTTCATTTTGATGTGCCATATGCCTATATTTTTATTTGGTAAATGACCTTAACCGTTTACATAAAATTTGATTGTATCACTTTAATAATATAATAGATGATTAGCTCAGCTTTTTTATGTAACCAACATAATTTTGAAACCAACATAATGTTTATGTAACCAACACTGTTTAAAAACATAACCAATATAAATATATCATGTAAAAGTTTTAAACATCCACCATAGAGACACCATCATCGTCTCCTGAGATCGCGGAACCACAATGAACATCAATCCAGGTCTTTTTTCATAACATTAGTTATAAATAATCTATATAAATACTCTATATAGTTAGAAATAACCAATAAATACACTCTATTGATCCCTAGATAAGGGTGTCGGCGGAGCTAGGAGTGACTACTAAGGTGGTGCTGTCCCGCATGGATGAGCCACTGGGACGCTGCGCAGGCAACGCCTTGGAAGTGATAGAAGCAGTGCAGTGTCTGACTGGCGACATGTCTCCTCAGATCTCCCGTATCGTGCTAGTCCTGGGTCAGTTAGAGTCCTGCTATTTAGAAAATCCACCTTTTTACCATTAAAACTTGGATAAAAAGAAAAACTTTCATTTATAATATGTATATGATAATGTATATGATATTTGTATAACAATAATTTGTATACAAAAATATCAATGATATGAATACAGTTACCATATACAAAATAAAAACAAAATAGAAAGCCTTAGCTTAGTAAAAACGTCAAAGACAACAATTAACACAGACTACTAGGCGATGGTCTTGCACGCTTGCACGGTGCAGAAGTATCAGGGAGGAGTGCAGTGAAAGACAGGAAGGAGAGAGATGATGGGAGGGGTGATCTGCACAACCCTATCACTTTTACCGAAACTGTTATTATTATAAAATATTGGTAAAAAAATCAATGTATCGATAAAAAAAAATCTGAATGAAATCTAATTCTAGATTCCTTCTAATATGTGACTCTGATGTACAGATGTTTCTTTAATTTTGTTTCTGATTCTTAGTTGCAGAAAATTGAGATCGTATTGAGTTCCATTTTGGCACAAGAAACTAAATTTAAGATTTTTTTTTTAATGGATATTGAAAAAAAAAACATTGCTTAAAGTTTTTGGCTTGTACTTTTTTGTAATTTTCAATAATTTTATTTACAGCATATAATTATAATGTTCACAGAAATCGTTATAAACAGGAAAATTTAACCTGAGTTCCATCCCATTTTTGTAATTGGAAGTAAATTTCAAGAAATTGAATTGACTTATACACTCCGAACAGAAAATCACCTCATCATGGATTATAAAAGGAGCTCATTTTTTTACAATAACATTTCAGAAAATGTTTTAACGAACAGGACACAAGTGAAACATTACCTTAATTGCTTTTTAAAATATATTTTGGAACATTGCAATAAATACTGGTCGTCGAATACTGTAGCACAAAAAACATCTCTAACAGTATAGAGGGTATGCTACAAAAAAAAATACAAATCTGTAATAATGGAACTTTTAAATACCCCCGCCACAGCAAACCTGCAGACTAAGCGGATTTCCATTTACCTGGCTGGATTTCTACTAAAATATTCCCTAAAAATTTTCAGATTTATTTCCTGTTTAAGAAACATTAACTTTAGTGAGTACTTAGGTTTGCTGCTATAGGGAAGATATTGAGGTGTGTTTTTATTGCAATGTGGATAGCTTAGTGTGAAATAAACAAAATTTCCAAATTTGGTTGAAATATGTAACGTGCCTATTTTTAGGGGGGGTCAAACTGGCCTATTCCTATGTCTAGCCTAGCCCTAGGCATAGCCTACCAGCCCTAACTAAGGTTATAGGTTAGAAGGCTAACCTTAGTTATAACATCCATAGTAACTATAGGCATGATACACTGTTGTGTTTGGTAATAAATAAGTTTAGAACGAGAGTTATTAATTTTGTATGAGCGTGATATAAAGCTTATACAGAGTTTTATAGCTTATTGACTCACCAGCGATGTGTTTCGCAAGCTAGGGCTCAACCCGGCTTGGTACTTCGAAGACACTTTCTACACTTAGTAAACCCGCAGATCATGGCCTTAGGCCAATAATCCGTTTCAAAGACGTGAGGAAATGCGGAGTGATTAATATAAACCAACAACTTGATGTTAAAACTCATTGTCGTGTGAAACAAACACAACATAACCTACAGTCAACACAACAAAAACAAGCTCGAGTATCTGACTACTTGGCGGCTGCAGACGACGGTGGCCGGCTAGCTTTTTTCGGGTTGAGAAACAGCAGACAATCCGCATCAGCTGAGCCCCCTACTTTGCTAAAGAGGGGAGCGAGAGGGATGACCCGAGGAACCCTCAGACGGCAACTAGAAAAGTTAGTTCCTCACCAGCTACGATAGCGATAACCTCAAGAGCTCTTACCGAGAGTCGAGATCGTAAGAGTTCATTGGTGAATCAGTAGTTAGCTCGTGTGACACTTCAATACAAATTGTAAGTCTTATTCTATTAGATATAAGGTAAACCGAGTTAATTGTTGACAGGGTGTAAAATACTAGTTTTTAAAATCAGTTTTACTAGATTTTATATTTTTACTCTTGTTTAACCAATGGACTTAGGCAAAGTTGAGTTGATTACGAACGATGGTGTGTTAAACCCATAACGTAATGAATTACAATATTACGAGGTCAGTGTATTTTGAATCCATTTTAGTAAGCCCAAAACAATTTAATCTCATCATACAAATTTATTAGTAGTAGCCATCAGTGACTACTACGATTAGTTGTGCTAGATCAGCACGTCCCGACCGGCACGCATGGCGTGTTGGAGTAGTTTTACGATGCTTAGGCCTGTGTTTTACGATGCTTTATGGTTTTAACGACGAGTTTGCCATAAAGCTTTTAGAGATTAATGGAAACCAGAAGTGGATAGTTCGTTTCGGTCTTGGTTACTTGCTTTAATTTTTGTTTTAACTAACAAGGCAAAAATATATCCTTCTGTTTGGTAATTTAATCTCACGTTTATTTAACGATGTTTGGTTAGGGTCATGTCAGATAATCCGTGACTAACCGTTGAATGGTATTTCATGTTTAATGATTTATTAAGTATGTGTTCTAATATTTTGTGTAATGAGTTTACAACAGGTGATGAGATTGTTTTGGTGCGAATTGTATAGTGTTGGCCTATGGTGTGGAACCATTTGACGTCTGGGACTGGTGAGTCAGCGTGAATTCAGCGTGTCTTCGGCAGCTGTGGTAGCGTGTTGAACCTACCTTTGGTGACGACCATGGAACTCATCGACGCTTCAGCAGCTGCGGTAGCGTGTTAAACCTACCTGGAGTCACGACCAACTCACGACACTGGAACCAGCGACTCGTTAGCGGACTGAAGATTGACGTAGAGCGGTCAGCTAGCTAGCTATGATTCTCGAACGGCTAAGGGTTGTGTGATAAACCAACCGGAGGAACTCACATCACGCTGTTGGCCAGCTTTGGTGTTCTTCGATTGATTATCCAGCGGAGAATATTGCAACGGAGAACAACGGTCAGCGAGACAACCGGAACTTGGTCAACGTGTACCCAACGAGTGTTGAACCGTTGTGGTGGATCTTGGCGTGGTGTAAACCCAAGAAGTAGCTCACATTGGGGGTGGCACATAAAAACTACGAAGGGACGGCCACCATGCGACTCACTGCGGCGGACGGGGCAGTGACACGGGACCGTGTGATAAACCGCATCCCCGAGGACTACATGCGAAGGGCGCAAGTAGCTCACATCGGGGGTGGCAAACGAACTACGAAAGGACGGCCACCACGCGACTCACTACGGCGGACGGGGCAGTGACACGGGACCGTGTGATGAACCGGATCCCTGAGGACTACACGAGAAGGACGCAAGTAGCTTGCACCGGGGGTGGCACATACGAACTACAAACGGACGGCCACTACGCGGCTCACTGCGGCGGACGGGGCAATGACACATGTCCGTTTGAGAAACCGGACACCCAGGATGTCAGCAACAAAAGATGTACGAGTAGGCTCCCCGGCTGTAGTACTGATATAGGGCGCGCGGGCTGGAAAACCTAGGCCTCGGTGAAGACCAGGTGAGGATGGCTGAGCCCCAGCCTACGACGACGAGTGGTGGGAGGTGGAACACACCTCAGCCTGTAGCCGTGGTCGACGGGTGAGCTCGAACCCTATGCTACAGTGGCGGGTTGAGTCGGCTAAGTTCAAGGTACCGCGACATCACGAGTCTGTGTGCAGAACCAGACAGACACCCAGGACGGTGGCGGAGACCGACGGGGCCGAGGACTACCGGCTGTAGTCTCGATTGGGGCCACGATGGACGCCCAGCCTGCAGTGAAGGCGTGAGGTGGGTGATCCGAACCCCGACTACAGCGGCAGGCGGAGCTCCCCAGGTACCGCTACGACGCTGGGATCTGTGTGTTGAATCAGATTGTCCTGGGGCTACATGTGGACATGTAGACGATATGGGGATGACGACTAACGACAATGGAAGGTCATCACATCTCACTGCGGTTTAAGGGGCAGTGACAGGGGTCCGTGAGATGAGCCGGATTCCCATACAATAGTGTCGAAGAAACGAATAGGACACAAACGACGGCAACGAAGGTATCCCTGCAACGAGTAGGATACCTATACGACAACGGGAGAGACAGGGGTCCGTGCGATGAGCCGGATTCCCATACGAAGAAGACGACGAAGTGTCCCTGCAACGAGCAAAGTCAATTGTCCCCTTCAGCAAACCTTCCTGATAACTGTACTAGTGCTAGTGTTACGATAAATAATGATTCCACATCCTCTGATTTTTTAGAAAAAATGCAACATCTATTACTTCCAGTTTAAAAAAAAACATATTGAAAAATAATCAACAGGGTGAAGTTTTCAACAAAAAATGTTACTCAAGGGGGAAAAACATTAACAAAAGATTACTGGTTCCTGCATTTGAATATACAGGGTTTCATAAATAACTATGAGGATTTGGAATTTTTTGTGAATAACTGTCGCAAAAACATTAAAATAATATCACTGAACGAGCATTGGCTTAATCAAAATAATATAGCTTTTCTAAATAAGATAGGCAAATTTAGAGTTTGTGACTTTTTTTGCAGGATTGATAAAGCTAGAGGAGGATCAGCACTTTTAGTTTCTGATGACATCCAATTTAAAGTTAGGAATGATTTAAAATTTCTTAATTTTTTTTTTTTTTTTTGTCTTAGGACGCTAGGCACAAGCCCGGGATTGTTTTTCACATTACTTCAGGCTAGACCTAGGGGTTGCGGCATTATCACTTAGATCAAATCCATTGGTGACTTGGCAGGGATCGAACCCGGGACCTCAGGGACTGAAGTCCCGCGCCCTAACCACTACACCAGCTCGCTCCCCAAAAATTTCTTAATGAAGCAAATAGTTTTGAAGGTAGTTTTGAGGAAGTGACTCAATGGAAAACATTGTTTATTTCTATATATCGTATTCCAAACTTAAAGATGGATAACATTTTTCTACATAAATTT